TGCATTCTTCTCTTTCTCTTCCAATAGAGTCTCTGATTAGGGGGAAAAAAAAACAGTATTTTCTATTTTGTGCTAACAATACTGACATTAGCTATGCAGTGCGAATGATACTTCAATTTTCTTTTCAATGAAAACCATGGCACTGTAAATGAAAATGGTATTTCATATTCTTCTGGTGAAGATTACTTTGTTGGTTTTCTGTAGTAATTATGCCTTTGTTTTGAATTATATTTTTAGTTTCAAATGCGTTGGTTTGTTTATGTTCAGTCAATATATATGAATTTCTTTCGGTTTTTGAAATTTTGACAACGAAAGTTATTAACAAGGCTTTTTTTTTGCGTGAATAAAGTCGTTGAGGATGCAGATGAATCTTTTTCCTGATTATTGCTAATATTATTCTTCTTTATTATTCTGCTAAATTTTTTTATGAAGATTTGGACAAAGCTCATTTAATGTTCAGATAAAAGTGAATGTTATTTTATTAAAAAAAAAACTAAGCATCTCTAAAACCGGAGGGAGTAGTTGATTCTTCATTGTTTTTTTTTTTTGGGGACTTGAAAGATTCTTCACTGATGAAGTGTAGGAAATCTGTAATAGATGTTTCTTTATGCTCGGTCAATGCATGATGTGTTTCTTTATGAGCCCTGTGATTGACTGGACGGACATGATTTTGAGATTCTTGAGAGACATAGAGAACAAGGCTTCTGAGAGAAACCTGATTCATGATCATGCTGGGTAAACGCTTCCTTGGCATTTCACAGATTCTCTTCACTGCTTCGCTCACAGTCTGACTCCTCGGTGTGGGACTATGTGCTAGGCTTAGAGCTTTAGACAAAGTCTTTCTTTTACAGCAAGGAGTATAGAAACATTCATGCCTTATTCAGGAAAAACTAATCAGCTCAGCAACTTTTTCCATGATGATGATGAGATTTTGGAAGCCCTAGATTTTTTGTCTTTCTGAGTTCTGGGTTACATTATATTTTGAGTTTTCTCATGTTTTATTTTCACCTCTGAATTTTAGATTTTGTTAACAACGCTTTCCCTTTGGCCAATAGATATCATCTGATTAGGGGTTTATATTTGCATTTATTTAGTCATTCTAAGCCTGCCAAAAACTTAGGCTAGACTTGGTAATAGCCAAGCCTGACAGGAAAGCTTATGGATTTTGGCTATATTACCTATTCCTCTTGAATTTCTTAACTATCAGGCAATTAAAGGTTGTTGGAAATGAGGACCTATTCATCCTATGGAGAGCCGCAACCCAGATCCATCAGTGCACCCTCTTGAATATCTCATCTCTGCAACAAATGGCCGCAACAGAAATGAAGAACAGAGCCAAAAATCTCACAGTATAAATAGTTGAATATTTCAAACACGAGAAAAATAACTACTTCATTGATACTAGACAGAGAAGTTGATCTTGATTATAAATACATTACCTATTTCTGTATGAAAACTTAACTTTAAGAGCTTTAGAGACCGGTAAACAATATTTAATTGAGAATTTCCTTCTCTTGATTTTTATCATATATTCAGGGGTATTTTGAATACTCCAGCCTTCTTTACTTGGACCTTGTTTTCATTTATTTATCCGAGAAATCCACGAAATGCACCAGTAGAGTATTATATGTGAACCAAATATGGAGAAGGTGTGGCGACCGGAGAATTAAGAATTTTAGAAGTTGAAGACAAATTTACCTTCCAATGCAAATGGCGGAAACAGAAAGAATGTTTTTACTACTAGAAATTATAAGGCTACCTGAGCTTTGGCCGGCTTATAAGCAGACAAAAGCATAAAATATGAAGGGAAGAAGAATCAGGAGCTTATATACAAGACAATGACTAAATCAAAATTAAAATTTTATTAATTTCTAAATTAATATGACTAAATCAAAATTAAAATTTTATTAATTTCTAAATTAATAATCTCACATGAATTTACCTCCCTCAAACGAATTATTTTGGCGCGCGGATCTCGATTCACTTCCTCTTTTTAGATACGCCATCACTACTGGGCCTACTAAAGGACACAAAGACGAACCCAAAAGCCCAATTGGGCGGAAACTAAGTAAGTATAAAAACCTTCCAACTAGATTTGGCGGGGTGCGCCAGGCCCGCGCAGTAGTGCAACGCATGGGCGACACGCGAGGATCCCAGCAGCAAGCTACTGTAATGGACCCTCCCCCTTAAAAAATTAATTTAATATCATGTGGGCCGATGGCCCACGTATCAGATATTAAACTGATAAGAACAGATACTACACTTGATCTTAGCCAAAAGGCCGAGAAAGGTATGCTTTGCTCATTTGGTTTCCTTAGTTTTTATACCTACTAACTGCTTTGCTCACAGGATGAATACCCAATGTGGGACTATCTCCACTCCAAACAAACAGCTTTCCTTCACGGCGCTAAGTGTAGAACCAGGAAAATGCTGATCAAACAACCAAATGAATCCAATATTTGTGCTGATAAAACCCTCTGTTTAGCTAAAATTTACACGAATGCTACATAATTCTTTCAGATCTTGTGGGAAAAAGAAAGTTAGGTTTACTCTGTGCTTTAAATCCTTGACAGGAATGATGAGTTGGGTGCGTTCTAAACGAACGACAACGAATCACCAGGAATGAGAAGCGAAAGACCCTCTGCTTTTCAGACACAGAAATCTTTAGTTTGGACCATATATCCAAATTGCTGGTTCGAACCCCGCAAGATGATGACTTTCCTTTCAAGTAAAATCTATTCAGGAGCTGATGCAATATCTGAGTTTGTGAAATATGATTGCCAACCGTAATTAATAATAATGTGAGAGCAGTTTGAAAGCTAGGTGTGCATCCAAAGAAGCTGGAAACTCTCAAATTAAACCACTTGGTTATACCGTGAAATTGGATCTGCAGCTTTTTAAAGCGACCCAGAAGCTTATAAAACAAGTAGGGAAACGCATAATAAACTGATCATGCTAAAAAGTTCCTGAATTTGCCCACCAAACTGAGCTTGCACGCATCTCTCAACAAAAATGAGATTCACGAAATAATGCTTAACTTGAACTATACAGTCCAACACAACAGAGGATTTCACCACACTCTCCCACAAAGTGGTCGTGATGACTAAAACTTTGATCGTTCTGAGAGGACCAATGCATTGTTCTGGGCAGATCTTAAGTGAATGGTTGCCTTCGATTGACAAAATGAATCAGAATATTTTGGATTGGATTCATCATAATGATCTTAAAATGTAATTTTTATTCATGGATTGTACAGGGAAATAGATTTCATATATAAGCAAGAGGTAGTAGTCAAGTTGGTTTTTCCGAATGTGTATAAAAAGTCCAGCATTTTCCATCATCTCTACACTACTACTACTTTTTTAGCACTGTTGTTACGAGAGAAACTGCCTGTGATGCCAGCAATAAGTAACTTGAATTATATGTCTCACCAAAAAGGGGGGGTGATACCACAATTCAGGACTTATATTCACAGCATAGATTATGCTAAAATTTATTAAAGCTTTTATATTGGGGGAAAAAAGACACAAATATACATGCTCTGTTTGCCTAAGCGTTTGAGGTCTTATTAAGTAGCTTTTGAAGCTATAAGTGTGGTTGCTCTCTCACTAGAATGTTTGGTTCAGAGTTTAACTAATCTCACTTATAATCAGAAGTTGTGATTTATAAGTAGGAGAGTTCTGCTTTTAGCTTATGAAATCAGGCTTTTAAGGGGACTTTGGGGCCATTGATCATCATCTTCAACGTGCTGGGAGAGGTCGCCGACTGGACTATCACTGTTCATATTCTAATTTTTCAAGTGAGCAAAACAAGTGAGGAGCTGGAGGCCGACTAAATATGGAGCTATAGGGGATTTGCAATATTTTTTTTCCATTTTTCTGATATTTTCAAATTTAATTCACTCAATAGATTTTATTTTTTATATTAAATTAATTTAAATTTATTGTATTGTGTCAATTCATTTTTTATCATGTTTTACTTTATATTTAAAAATATTTCTTATGATTTTCTAAAGTTTTTAAATCTAATTCACTCATTAAATTTAACTTATTCATATTAAATTATTTTAATTTCATTTTATTATGTAAAATTATTTTTCTTAATTATGTCTCATTATTTATTAAGACCCATACCCATTTTGGTTATTTTATAACCAAACTTACTTTAACTTAATCACAATCTAAATAATTTTGTACCAATCTCACTTTTATAAATTAACTTCTCTAAACTCTAATTCAAATTATCCAATTTAATTTTTATCTAATTTTATTTTTTTAAAATCAAATTGATAATAAACTACTTTTCTCGCTAATCCAAATAGACCCACATAGTTGGGCTGTGTTGTGCGGTCCTTACCACGGGATGCCAAATCTAAGGTGAAGGTATATTCAGCTTAGAAAGAAAGAAAAAGAACGACTTTATTCTATTCTTCTTCTTTTCTCTCTTAAACCTTGTTATTAATGAGCTAATAATATATTTTTCTGTAATTTTCCGTTTGAAAGTAGATATTTTTTCCCAATAAAATAACATCTTTGGTTTTACTTCATTGTCCCTTGTTTAATACTCCATCCGTTCCTTATTATAAGAGACATTTGATGCTTATGGCATGTTTCTATATATAAGAGACTTAAAAGTTGTCTTTACTTTGACCAAAAAAAAGTTGTCTTTACTTTTTTGTGTTGATTTCTTATTTTGCTCATATTTATTGTCTCCAACTCACACTCTCCTTCCCTCTCACTTCTCTTTCTTTTAATAATTTAATTGTTTTCTATCATGCTCTCTCTCTTTATTAATGAGGATATTTTTAAAAAAAATTGTATTTTTTACATATTGATTATTTTTAACTAATTTTAATTATTTTTTATCAATATAATTCGATTATTCGTCTATTATAATAAGAATAATAATACGAAAGAATATTTTTTTCTTGGGCAGCATATCATTCTGTCACCCTATTTATATCCGTACGAAAATATTTTATGCTGTGAATTTGCGAAAGCACTGGTGGGGCAAAGCAATTCGAAGTTCGTCCTCGTCGACCGTGGCCCTTTGCGTAGTGCCCTCTCTTTCTCACTTGGAACGGGGGTTGCCTGCCCTGGCTATTCATCCTTCATCATCTTTGCTCCATCGGCGATCGGTTAGTTCTTCCATTTACAGTAAGTCCTCTTATCTCGAGATTCCCTTGACTTTCTCTCTTACTCAACACCCTTTTTTGGTTGGAATTGTTTTGGGCATGAAAAATAATACTTTTTTTTAAATGTATTTAGTTGGTTAATTTTTTCTGTTTGCATTCTTCTGTATACATACGATTTAGATGCTTTGGTTCGCACGTTGTGGTTCTTTTTCTAATTCAATTGGAATTTTGCAATTGAGTACCGCGCTGTTGAATTGACCAATGTTTCTTTATGCTAAAGCCCGTTGAAGGATGGACATTTTTGTCAAGATTGAAAATCTTGAAACCTGTTAACAATAACTGCGAAGAAAGAAAGTTGATACAACAGTTTTAGGCATCATCCCTTTGGTTCCCCTTCTTGTGAGGGTTCATCCTTTGAATTCATTGCTACCGTTTTTCAAGATTTTATGGTGCTCAATGCCGAAATTTTAAAACTTCATCCTAGATGCTTGTAGCAGAGACCAATATTTCAATGTCCATAAATGAGGTACGTAAAAACAATTAAAAACGTACAAGCAATACACATGAATGCAATAGGATTCGCAGGTATAATAGTATTTGCATGATGCCGGGGTCCCAAACATAGGCACACTAGATTAAACTCAAAAATTTCTGAAATCCCAATTCTCCCCCATGTTCTATTTGTTAGTTGTTGGTCTATCTTACTCACTCAGGGGACACATGGCTACAACCCAGAACATTAGGGGTTTCAATCCCTCCTCACCTACATTGGCCAAAAAGGGAAGTTGCTATGCTTGCAATGTTTTCCTAGCAGTGCCGCTTGCAAGCATGCTTGCTATGCCCATGCTTGCAAGCTTGCTGTCACCAATGGGGTTGCATTTGTTCTGTTAGTTGTTAGTTGATGGTTTATCCTCCTTATTTAGTGAGCACTTGGCTGCAACCCACAGCATTTGGGGTCTGAATCTCTCATCACCCTCTATTGGCCAAAAACAGAAATTGCTAATATTTTCCTAGTAGTGCTACTTGCTATGCTTATGAGTTTGCTGTCAGAAATGGTGTTGTCTTGTGTCTATTAAAGAGTGCTTGGGCGTCTGTTCTGGGACCCCAAAACAGACACCCACACATACGCTTAGTTGTCAGTTTTTATTACTTAATCAGTAAGCACAGACCATATTTTTCTGGCACGTAAATAAACTATACATATGGTTCAAGTGACGAACTGTAGTTCTATTACTCATGGAGTTCATCATATTTGGACTTTGAGAATTTTAAACTACGGTAGAAAAAAGAAGGTTTGATCCCAGTTCAAATGATCAATAATTTTGGTAACCGAATCCACAAATGTTCATTCTATTAGGGAATGAATAAAATTATGAACCTTCACTTAACAACTTAAACTTTTGGGTTGATGTATTCTTCGACTAAATTTAATATCCATAATTCCATATTATTTTTATTTGAAGTATGATAATTTGTGGACTGGAATCACCTGGTCACCCGTGATTTGTCCCTATATAAGAACATTCAGTGGAACTTTTGGTTAGACCTTTAGCTTGAAAATATGAAGGTAATGAATATTCATATTGTGCATTTCATAATATAGATCTGAGGCATTGCTTTCCTGATAAAGTTTATTTCTCGAATTCTGTTTGCCATTTATGATAAAACTCATCATTTAATAACAAAAGCAAGGGTGTTTCCGGGATGGGATGGAAGTATGGAAGTGAGATGGCCTTAGCCATGCCCCATCATGGATAAGATTGTGAAAATGTCCTATTCGAGATAAGCTTCCTTCAATAATGAATATGCCATGGGTCCTGTGACCATTTGTTTTGTACATTTGCTTTCTCTTTAAAGTAGGCAACCATTTTTGCTTTCGCTTATGTCATAAATCATGACTATGGGTCCATATCCCCTGCTCTCGGAGCAGAGGGTATTTTTCTGCAGATAGCTTGGGAGTGTACGATCTCGATGTCTGGTTGAACGCTAGTCCTCAATCTGACAAATGGCAGCCAGAGGCAATATTCCAGCAGCATATGAGGGGCGTTCTGTCCAAGTTCCTGGGATGATGCGGCATGGTCCATATACTGGTGTAAGTTCTTCTGCAGGCCATCCTTCTCTAGAGGCCCTGCCCCGTCAAATGTTGGGTGATGAAATTGCATCTCAGGAAGAAGAAATAAAGCGACTAGTGGGCGACAACCGTAGGCTGGCAAGTACTCATGTGGCCTTGAGAGAAGAGCTTGTCGCTGCTCAGCAGGAAGTGCATAAACTGAGGGCACATATTAGGAGCATTCAAACTGAAAGTGATATCCAGATCAGAGTTTTACTGGATAAGATTGCAAAAATGGAGAGAGACGTTAGAGCTAGTGAGAATGTAAAGAAGGAACTCAAACTAGCCCATCTTGAAGCGCAGAGCTTGGTAGCCACTAGACAAGAACTGAAAAGCCAAATTGAAAGAGCTACTCAGGAATTGAAGAAAGTCCGTGGTGATGTCAAGAGTTTGCCAGATCTGCAGGATGAACTGGACAGCTTAGTGCAAGAACACCATAGATTACGGTAAGTCATTTGCCTATTATGGGTTTCTTCCTTCTGCGTGTAGACCAGAACTGATACTAAACTCATTGATGAGATTTTCTCCTTTTTATTGTGAGAATGCACATGTGATTGTTGGATAAAATTGTGCAAAGGGAAAAGAATGCATACTAATTTTTCCCCTATTCTTTGGTACACAAGTTGCAATGAACTCGGCTGCTGTTCATTGGATTGTCTAAACATGGAGAGACCAGAATGCATTCATGATGTGTTGTCTTCAAATTGGGTATTTTGAATAGCATCATGACCGTCTCCTATTGTTATGATCTACTATATTAACTTGTACTTTGTGCAACAGACTCCTGCCTCGTAAGTGTGTGTAAGTTGTATTGATCTCTTTGTCAGATCACGTTTTTAAGCTATATGGTATTTATTATTGATGGCTGTCTTTCTTTTTTTTGGCTGGGAATTGGTGGCAATTTTTATATGCACATAATTTTCCGACATTTGCTTTGGCATTACATCCTGTTTCATATTTTCTTTGTTGCTCTTCATTGGTGCTTTATCTTTTTCTTTTTGTTTTTAACTTTTTACCTTGTTTGCTGATTCTTTGAGAATCTGGTTGGGCACAGTGCAACCTTTGAATATGAAAAGAACAAAAACGTTGAGTTAGTGGAGCAACTAAAAGCAACAGAGAAGAATCTGATAGGAATGGCAAGAGAAGTTGAATTTTTACGAGCTGAGATTCAGAATGTTGAGAAAAGAACACATGGTAACTTTCTATCTTCTGGATACTGATGTCTTATTATCTGATATATGCGTGCATTTCCATCTTTGATGCATTAATTCTATATTGACACAGCGCCAAATCCGTATGGTGCTGCTGCAGCAATACCCAGAACCTTTGTTGATGCCTATGGGAGAGCTCAAGTAGGAGAGACAGCACCAGCCTATGGGGCCGGCAATGGCCGGCAGCTTTGACTAGGGCTGCTAGGGCTGGACTGCTTGATTCCTCAGTTCCTAGGAAGTGATGTTTCGTGAGGAGCAATCAGATGTAATTCTTGATTCTAGCTGTTGCTAGTATAAGCCATGAATTGATGGTTATATTGTTTATATATAAAACACAGATCTGATGGCTCTATTGTAACCCTTCTCTATATAATGTCAGTGAATTTTGTAAAGTGTTGAATCAAATTTGTAATGGCCTCTTGTAATGTATTTATTTAAACTTATTTTAAAAAAATTTAAATAAAGAGCTCTTTTTTTGCTGTTTTGTTTAACCTAAATACACACCAAAATTAATGTAAGGAGGAAGTGAAAGCTTCAAAGCGGTTCTTTTTGGCTCATTTGAAATTTTTTTAAAATAGTTTTTTAATCGTAATTTATGAAATATAAGATAAATATTTAAAAGAAATTTTGTTTTGATTTACATGAAATGTATTTTTAAGTACTTATATAAATGATGCTGAACAAACATTAGACTTTGTGCAAGGATGAGGTTTTGGGAGGCACCCCATGATTCTGCCTGTTTTATGGGCTTATGTGCCCCAAAAAGAACGGGCCAGTTACCGGCCATTTTCATCTGTGATGAGCCAGCCCTTCATGTAGGACCCATCACAGTTGAGCTCGACCCAGGAGCTCGGATGTTCTGTCCCTTTGATCTGTTACATATCAAACACCAATGGCCTAATGACATGCGAGCTCCTATTTGTAGAGAAGTTTTTATTATGCCATATGGCATATGCTGCACCAGATAGTAGCATTTAGGTTAGATCATGTTCATATTTAGAAATATTATTCTCAGGACCTTTAACCGGAAAAAGACTTTTTTTGGGGTAAATAATACATTCGATTCTTAATATAAAACATAGTTGATTAATTTGGAAATATTAAAGAAATTAGTTAAGTTACTTATTTGAAATAAATAAAAAAATTTTCTAGGATACACTTATTAATCATATATATTAGTTAAAACTACCATTTGATGAAATTTTTAACATGTGTAAATATTATAAAGAGTATTTTGAAAAAAAATAAATATAAAAAACAAAATAGATTAGAATATTATATTTAGAATCAAATAAAAATTCAAAATAATTTTTATATCAAGGATTAAAAATAATATATTGACCCGAAGCTATGGACGAACTTCATTCTTTCTTGGGTTGCTTGTGGATTTTCACTCAAAAAAAATGTGGCCAAGTAAGTCTAACTCTGATATTTTATCAAAAATAATAATTAATGGTCACTGAGAACTATAATCAACAACAATGTTTGACTACTAACATTTAAATATCGAAAACTTCAGGCCAAAATAAATAAATATCGAAAATATTTTCAAATACAAAGTAAAACAATTATTCAGTATTAATTCAATTCACTTTATCTCTCATATTTATCCTATTTTATCAAAGTAGTTCTTGTAATAATAGTAGTTCTAACTAATATGCTTAATTAGCAGAGATATTTTAGAAAAGACAATACTTATTTATTACAAATAACTAACTTAACTAATTTCTTTAATCTACTCAAATTAATTACTCTTCTAGTTTTATTTATACAGTAGAGAGAAAACATTTTTTAACCTTCTTCATAGGACGCTAAGAGAAATTTTTTGTATAGACATACAATTTTACCATCCATTTATTACTGTGTTGACTTTATTTATATGAGGTATAACCAATCCACTTTATCTCTCATATTTATCTAATTTTATTAAGATAATTCTTGTAATAATAATAGTTCTAACCAATATGCTTGATTAACAAAGATATTTTAAAAAAAATAATACCTATTTATTACAAATAACTAATTTAAATAATTTTTTTAATTTACTCAAATTAGTTACTCTTCTCATTCTATTTATAGAGTAGAGAGAAGATATTTTTTGGTTCTGTTTATAGGGTATTGAGAGAAATTTTTTGTATAGATATATAATTTTACCCTCCATTTATTATTGTACTGACTTTGTTTATATGAGGTATAATATATATATTAAATAAGACTAAAGTTAAAAAATTGTTAAACTTTAAATAAAACTTAATAAACTTTAAGATTTTCTTTTTATTCCGGATGAAATATATTGAAAGTCATCTGCAAATACGAGCAGAGGGTAACTAGTTAATATATTAACGATCGAGTTATTCTTTTTGTTATTAGATGGTCAAAACTTGGGGAAAGTAACTGGGAAAAGGACCTTTTCTCCTTCGTTGTTTCGTAAGGCTTTCTCTGTCTCCGATTTTCAAATCGGCAATTTCCTTTCAACTCGGTTCTTCCCAATGCCGAAAAATTCGATTTTCCAGTCCTCTTCAATTTCGCTGCTGTACCTTTGAAAAGGAAAAAAACATCTCTGAGAGCTCTTTCCTGGATCTGAAAGAGAGTATTTGGATTCTTCCATTAACTAAAATGTGTATCATGCCTTAATCTAACTGGGATTCGCCGTGGTAGAGGAACTGGATTGGAAAAAAGACGGATTCTAGTTGTAAGATATCCAATGAAACCGTCATTAGAATTGAGATCTCATTCAGAGAAAGATATCAAATATCTAGAGTTTCTTTTCGTATATTATATGGATAATCCGATTTGACCATGACTGGGAGTTGTTCGATTTTAAAAAATACAATAAAATAGATGAAGAAATTCGTCCACCCCCTACATATTTTATAAGTTCTCCCAAAAAAAAAACTGTAATACCCACCTCATTTGGAATTCCATCAATTATTCATCTATAAAAAAAAGAATTTAGTTTAGCTAATCTTCTTATATTATAATTAAAGATATTCTATATGTTTCGGGTAGCAACAATTTGATTCTGCTAATCAATTTCTCGATGCTCGTTCTGTCAATCCCCATAACCTTGGAAGCGAAATTGTCGGGAAAGGATAGCGACTACCAGAAATGGTTGCAAAAACCGGTCCACATATTCGGCATATGCATCATGGTGTTGTCGATGATAGGTTTGATTGGAGTTTGCTGCAGCGCCACTGCCTGCCTTTGTATCTACCTGTTTCTGATGAATTGATCACCATTGCGTTGTTCGCCTTCAATGTCTTCTTGTACGTGATTACCCATAAAGGGGCTGGGGAAACTGTGTTTGGATTAGGGTTCGAGGAGCATAGGCTTGGCGATTACTCCACCTGGTTGCAGAGGAGAGTAGAGAACATCGATAATTGGAATAACATCAAGAGTTACTAATAGAAAAAAGACTTTTAACGTCTTAAAATAACAGTGGTTAAGCAGAAAAACGACATGAAAAAAAAGGCGGTGGTATTTTTGTAAATAAGTTGAATGTTTCGTTATTTTCCACGGCGGTTATTTAAATAACCGCCGTTAAAAACAATTTCCACGGCGGTTTTAACAAAACCGCCGTGGAAAGTGTGTTCATTAACCCTACGGCCTCTCGTGTTCGGTCTTTCTTTCTTAGTTCTTTCTCGGTTCTTCAGTAGTGCGTTGTGGTCCCCCTCTGTCCCACCACCAAAAAACTGCCATTACCGGCCATTCTCCCCACTACCCCACCGTTTAAACTCCTCCATTGAGCTTGTGGTGTCTTGCCGCCGTCCGCCGCCGTTCGAACACCTCTCATTTCGCATTTGAATCTTCTCTACTCTGTGAGTATCCTCTTCTTTCATTCTTTTCAATTTTTCTTGGTTTGTTGAATGTTTTGGCCATGAAAATTTGTTGTATTTGAAATGGGTTTGTTAGTTTTACATTGTGGTTGGCTTGTATTGTTCATTTTGTATTTTTATGTGGTTGAACCGTTGATTGGTGGGCATTGGATGTGAGAAAACCTTAATTCCTTCTTATATACTGTATTAGAAACATGTTTAAATGTTTGAAGTTGATTAGTTGTGAAGTTTTTAATTTTTTTTAATAATTTTTTGATATTCATTTTGAATTTTTGGTTATTTTTTTGTAATAAATATATTTATTTCAAATTTTAAAAATCTTTATTAATTGAATTGGTTTGAAATTGAATTTTTTTTGTTTTATTTGTTATATTTTTTCAAATTTATCATGTTGAAATATGTTATGAACAATATTTTTTTTTGTTTATTAAAATAATTTTTGTTTAACTATTTCAACATTGAAATATGTTATTTTTACTTTTGTTTTATTTGTTATATTTTTGGATTCATGTTTATTAAAAATTTTGAGGTTTTTTTCTTCTAATTTTGAGTTTTTTTTCCTAATTTGTACATAGTTGTTAAGGGGAAATTTTGTCAAATTTTTTATTTTTAAAAAAGAGACATTCCCTTCAATTTGTAATTAAGTGTTAGTCAATTTTAATTTATTGACTAACATTTAATGATTTTATTATTTCAATATTTGAATTAAGGAATTAAAATTGAGCTTGACAACTATATTAATTGACTCTGTAGAACAATGGATCGTAGTTGGATGAAAGCTAAGAGAATTAGTAAGGAATATGAAGATGGGGTTAAAAGGTTTCTTGAGTTTGCTCAGAGAAATGCCCATAGTAAAAGAGATGGATTGTACTATTGTCTTTGTGTCAAATGTTTAAACAATAGTCAACGGAGTATTTCTGAGATAAAAAAGTATCTTATCTGTGATGGGATAAATTTGAGGTATACAAATTGGATATGGTATAAAGAAATTAGAAAGACTACACTGTCTACAAATGAGAAGGTTGTGAATGAAGATTTTGGTGATAGAATTTCGGATATGTTTCGTGATATAAGGTCTGAATCCTCTACTCTCTCCCACCTTTGAAACTTTGTGTAGTGATGCACAGACGCCTTTATACCCAAGGTGCAAAGATGATTACACAAGGTTGACAACCGTATTGAAACTAATGAATTTGAAGGCATGCAAGAAATGGTTGGACCGATGCTAGTTTTACAGAATTGCTTGAATTGCTGAGTGATATTTTTCCCAAAGGCAATTCACTTCCGAAATGAATGTATGAGGCAAAAAAGATATTGTGTCCGATGGGTTTGGAATATGAGAAGATACATGCGTGTCCTAATGACTGCATATTATTCAGAAATGATTATAAAGGGTTGAATAAGTGCCTTAAATGTGGGATTTCAAGATACAAAATGAAGAAAGATGATGATGATTATAATGAGATGACCAAAGGTTCTCCTTTGAAGGTTCTATGGTATTTTCTAATAATACCACGATTTAAGCGTCTACTACCTCTGGTCCTAATTATAAGACCCAATTGACTAATTTGAAGAGATTAAGGAAGTTAATTAGATTAGTTAATGGTTAAAAAATAGCACCTGTTTCCAAAAATACCCTCATCAAATTTTTGAAAATACCCCTGCCGATCGCGAGCTCCTTTACTGACCACGCGAGCCCTCAGTTCTCCAACACCTAATCCGACCACACGAACCCACATGAACCCTCAGTTTTACAGCACCAAATCCAACCACGCCGTGAGCACCAAATCCGACCATCAGCTCTCTCTCTGTACTACAATTTCCAATTTCTGCTTGGTAATTTCAGATTTTCCTCAATCTAAGAACTTCTATCCTTCATCGATGTGTTTTTATCGATTCATTGTGTTTATTTAAGATTCATTTGCAGATTTTTGTTTTGATCGTCGCTTCTATTGTCGTTGATAAGATTACGAGCTTATCTCTCTGGAAGTGCATGTGGCATTCGACTTGCTTGCTATACATAGTCGCTGCTGAGAATTAATCTCTCAATGCCCATAAACTCAGATTTGAACAGCGAAGGAATTGGTGAATCTGAAATAGGTGATGGCATTAATATGATTTCAAGACTTTACGGCTTATTGTTATCTTAATCAAAGATTAAAAACTTTTTGAGCATAAGTCACTAGTTCGATTACTAATTCTGTAATCACTTCACTTTTATGTCATTAATTTGGTTACTAATTTTGTTTCCTTTAAGAGAGATCACTTTCAGGTAAGTTTCTCTTGGACCTGAACCAAGTGCCAAGTCATTCTCAAGAAATGGAAGTTCCTTCGATGGAAATTTCAAACTCTGAACATGACGCTGAACAACAAAGGGAGGAAAACATTCATGCAGTCGAAACTAATGGTAGCCAGTTTCTCTTGGACCTGAACAAACTGCCAAATCAAATGGAGGAGGAACACATTCATGGACCCGAAACTAATGGTACCTAATTATATCTTTAGATTAACATTGTATTCGCATGACTTGGAATATTTTTATCTGTATTTCTTTATACACAATACAAATATTACTTGCATATGTGTGCGTGTGTGTAGGCTACTATCCATCACTGATTTTTAATTTTATCTGCTTCTTTTATAATTTTGAGACTGTGACTTCTTGTGGTAATCATATCTATATATATAGAGGTTATGTCCTGCTCTGTGTTCTGCTTATTTGGAGCTTCTCTGTGTTCTGCTCTGTGTTCATTTTTGTTAATTTTAATTTTTTATGCTTTGTTACTTTGTCTCTCCTGGTTAATAAAATTTGCAAGTACTATTGGGTATCATGGAACAGGCAAACACCGTAGGTTCTTGAGTAATGAAGACCGCAGAGCCATCTCCAATCTCCTATTGCAGTATAGTCGAGATGGGAAACTAATTAAAGGGGCTAAGAAGAAGGTTGCATCAATGTATTCAGTATCCAGTTCTGTCATTAAACGTATTTGGCAAAAAACAAAGGTTGGGGATGGTGCATGTCATGAAAAAACAGGAAATTGTGGTCGCAAGAGAGTTGAACTTCACACTGATCAATTTCTTCAAGTTCCTTTTGCTAAGAGAACCACCTTGCGAGATTTGTCCTGTGCACTGAATATAAATAAAACCTCTTTAGTTAGACTTCAAAAGAAGGGAGTTATCCAATGTCGCTCTAATGCCATTAAGCCATATTTGAGGGAAGAGAATAAGATTGCTCGACTAAAGTTTTGTTTGTCCATGATTGAAAATGGTTCAGTGCCAGGAGATCTAACTTTTAAAAGCATGTATAATGTAGTTCACATTGATGAGAAATGGTTCTATATGACAAAAAAGACTGTGAACTATTACATGCTATCAATAGAAAATGATCCATTGCGTACTGTGCAAAACAAAAACTTTATTGGAAAGGTGATGTTCTTGGTTGCTGTTGCCCGCCCAAGGTTTGACTGCAAAGGCAATGAAACTTTCTCCGGGAAAATTGGAGTCTTTTCTTTAGTGACAAAAGAGCCAGCAAAGAGAAAGAGTGTCAATAGACTTGCAGGTTCATTGATAACAAAGCCTATAACTTCAGTTACCAAAGAAGTTAGTAGACAGTTTCTTATTGGACATGTTGTGCCCGCTATAAAAGCAAAGTGGCCTAGAGATTCAATAGGGGAACCGATTTATATTCAACAGGATAATGCAAGGTGTCACATTGATCCAAATGATATTGAGTTCCATCGAGTTGCCACAGAAGATGGGTTTTGCATCCGCTTGATGAACCAACCTCCTAATTCTCCTGACTTGAATATTCTAGATCTTGGCTTCTTTAATGGCATACAATCTTTACAGTACAAGGAAACACCAAAAACAACTGATGATTTGATTGCGGCAGTGATTAGATCATTTGAATCATTTCCATCCACTAAGTCTAACAAAATATTCTTAACACTTCAATGTTGCATGGTAGAAATCTTGAAGGACAGAGGTTCTAATAAATATGATCTTCCACATATAAGAAAATAAGTCATGAAAAAGGAAGGTCCACTACCAAATCAAATAAAGTGTGATCCAAAGTTAGTACAAGAAGTGATGGAGTATTTGAGGTAATTTTTCCTTTCTTTGAATATTTCTTCTGTTTTTTTTTCTTGTTCTTTTGGTTAATATGTATGCATTGTGCTTAAATTTTGTGTGTTGGATAATTCATAGCTGTGGCAATATTGGATGATTCAATGGCAACCTGGTCTTTGGCTTCAACTACCGACTGGTGCAAAACAAGAACTCACCGGTCACCACCTTGTTGAGATTGAAGAATGGGGTTTCATTTTTTATGTTTCTAAAAACTTGAAGATTTATTCTGTGTTGTTTGATGGATATTCTAGAGTGATTGACAAATGCATAAGATATAGGAAGTTCAGAATTGCTTAGGTATTTCTTGATGTTGTTTCTATTTTTTTTTGTTGATAAAGGTTGTTTCTATATTTTTGACAGTTCTACTTATTGTTCTGGCTTTTCATACTGTCATCAGAATTTATAATATTCTGTGCACAAAGAACTATTTAGCCCCTCAAATTAATGAAATCCACCACATTATGGTATTTGATGGTTATCATTGCTGGAGAATTTACAAATTCACAAAGTCCATCTAACAATTTTTTATGTGGTTTATATATATTTTTAAAATAAATTATTCATAGATTTAAAATGAATTTTCTTTCAGTCATGATGCACCAGTTTATAAATTTAAAACAATTTTTTAATGCCCAGGACTTCATTTTTCTATCATTTTCTTTCTTTCTTTTTCCAGATATAAATTAAAATTTAACAATGTGAGTCATTTATATATTTTTTTAATAATTTAAAAGTGTATTAATATATTTATAAAATATTAAAACTAACCTAATCAAATTTTAATTCAAAAATGACAAGTGGAGAGTGGAAGTAAAATTTTTCCGTAAGTAATTATTATGGTAATATTTGACTATAGTTAATGTAATACAAGCAAGGGTAATTTGGAAAAAAATGAATAAAAATAAGAGACAAAGTGGATAGGAGTCTTATATTTAGGACCAAACTAAAAGTCAAATTGGGTCTTATAATTAGGACCGGAAGTAGTATTTGCTAATGCCACAGATGCAAAATAGACAAGCACCAAGATGGATTCTTCCAAAGGTATATGTTGTTTTGAACTAACTTTTAAACATTATTAGATGAATTAAAGTTAATGTTTATAATCAATAATGTCTGATATTCAATTTTATATCTCATTTTGTTAGTACCGTTGTCAACAAGAACATGTTGAATGTGGATATTATGTCATCCGCTACGTGAATGACATCATTGAGACAGCAACAACTGAGAAATTAGACGAGGTAAAGATGAGTTATGTTGTATGACGTTCTTTAATTCATTTCACATTTTTGACTAAGTTTACTATGTTATTTTTGATTAACAGGTATTTTAAAATATTGCGCCATATCTCATGGATGACATCAACTTGATGAGGGACACTTTGTCAACAACTTTGGTACAAACTATTGAAATTTAGCTTTCAAATAGTTAGGTCATTTCTCAAAAAATTCATTGTTAGATGTTTTCTCTTGGTTCCCTCTTATACATGTTCATGATTTCTATTGTACAGAGAAGTAGTTACTTCTTTTTCAGAATTGCTGGTCCTAGCCTATACGTGTTCTTTGGTCTTAACCCCTTAGTTTTATTGGTCGGTTTCTCTATTTTCGCTTTGTGTAAAAGAAATTTCAATGCTGTATATATATTAACTAGCTAATTGATCTTGTTCTGCATATTCTACACTACCTACATTTATTTGGAACTGTAAACTGCAGAGTGGTGAAAATGAAAAACCGAGCAGAATTTTAAAAAAAACTATTTTTAATGGCGGTTTTATGTATAACCACCGTTAAAAATATTTTCCACGTTGGTTTATTAAGCAAACGCCGTGGCTATTTAAGTTTCCACAGCAGTTTTTTAATTTAATCGTCGTGATTTCTTCACCTTTTAACGTTGTCTTTATCAACTTCGCCTTCAAAACCGCAGTGAAAAGCCACTATTAACCGCCATGAAAAGCCTTTTTTCTGGTAGTGAATTGCTTGCAACGAGCTCAAGTCTGCGTTAAATTTTATGCCAATCATCAAAACGACACTGTTCAATCTTTCCATCAACCAAATTTATCTCCGATTTAGGGTGATTCTTCATTTTGATCTACTTTCTCATCTAATTATTATTATCCCACCCTTGCGTGTTTGTGTGTTAAAGGATATCACATCGCGGTGCATCCTTATAAAATACTCCTCCAGTCCTTAATATAAGACCTAATAGTTGAGTTGGTTTTGGTCCTAAATATAAGACTCATTTCTCATATTTATCAATTTTTTCTAAATTACCCCTATAAATACTCCCTCAAACATAATCAAGTAAAAGAGAGAGATGAGGTATTAAGAAAGATGGTTATGGTGTTTTAGGAAAAATGTGTTACATTTTTTATAATTAACTAACTTACCTAATTTTCTTAATCTAATTAAATTAGTTAAATGGGTTTTATATTAAGGACCGGAGGAGTAACAATAAATTTTTTTTTTTTCCTGAATAACATAACACACTTGTATTGTTGATGGAAAAAACCAAAGTACGAATCACAAAAGATTACCGAAGACAATGGCGGCAAAGTGCAAAACAAACTTCCTTCAGATTAGCAGAAACAGACCAATGCATATATATAACGATGTTATACATTTTAACACCATCTTATTGTGACAAGCACAATGTTTTACTATATAACAAACCAATACAAATCCACCTCAATTGTATGAAAAGCGATGTTATATATTGTGGTGCCATTTATATTTTATTCTTCTCATGTTCAAAAATTTATATCCTTAAAGTTCTTGATGGTACGTAATCTCTCTTTTATAGAGTTAAGGTTCTAACTAGACACTTTCACAATTTCATTCTTTGTCTCTCTCTGAACTAAGTGAACTTTACAAGAACTTTCCAATGTAGAATTTTAGAGAATATTTACACCATTCTTAAAATTTATGGAGGTTAATTAAGAATCTCTGCGCCGCATGCACTTAATTGCCCTTTGAAATGAAAAGTCTCCTATACTTTTTTTTTTTAACTGACATTGTTTAATCTATTGTTCTATACCATTTGAGCTGTAAAAAAGGTGATCTTAATATATAACACAGGATTAATTATCATTGTACTGGGAACTGTTTATGCATGTGGCGTTTGAAACTTGTTCAAATATTTGACGATAACTTGTTGCTCTAATAATATATAATGATTAGAGAACATGGTGATGTTTTGGCTGAATTTGTGCAGTCAGGGTGTTGTAAGCCGTCAAGAATTTGTGAGTTCGAATACGAATCGCCAATGGTATGGAATAAGCCAGAAAATGGTACGTCTTCAAATCCAAATTGTAATGCATGGGACAATAATCCTCACGTTTTGTGCTTCGATTGCAACGCATGTAAGGCTGGAGTGCTGGACAACATTAGGAATAGTTGGTTTAATGTTTGTGTTGGGAACTTCACTATCGTTGATTTATTCCATTGGATGCTATGCTTACAGAAATGACCGAAGGGAAGAACACAACAGACGTTATTTTATACGGCACTAGAATAATAATGCTGGGGTATGTGTAAATATACTAGCGTCTGATGCTTTGTAATATAGCTTCCTTGAAAAGTTCTGATTTTGTGCAGTGAAAAGCAAAAATGGATGAACTCCACACACAGAACAGTATCATACATGTTTTATATAAATATATATATATATATATATATATATGATTGAGCTACCTTGGGTTTGAAGGTGGATAGACTTTCCATAGATTATCTTGGTTGTCTATGGGAAAATAAAAAAAATACTATTTTCGGTCTTAAAGAGCTAGATGATTAATTTAAATAGATTAAAAAATTAGTTAAGTTAATTATTTGTAATAAATATGTTGTATCTTCTTTAAAATACGCTTACTAATCATGTACATTAGCCAAAATTATTATTTAATGAAACATTTAATATATATAATTACTACAATAACTATTTTAAAAAATAGATAAATAGACAAAATAGATCGTAGTCTTATATTTAAAATTAAATTAAATATCAAACTAATTTTTATATTAAAAATTGAAAGTAGTATATTTATCTGTTGAGGAATGATGTGACGTACACAGGAGGCAAAGCAACAAGACATGGGATGGCGCAAATATTACGGAAAACAAATGACCGCACCCTTTGATATGTATGGAGAGTTGAGAATGTCAACGCGGTTATGAATTAAATTTTAGTGATGCATAGCATTCATCGCCAGTTGCATCAATGAACGCTACTACTAGCAGGCAGACTAAGAAAGTTGTCCATTGCTGACCTAGGATTTTATTTAGGGAGATTACAATGAGGTGCCAAACAAAAAAAAAAATAATTACTAAAAGTTCTAGGAAGAGAAAATTAAAATTTTTAAGACTTGTTTTGCAATTATTTTTTCCTTAAAACCTCATTATCATTTTTGCTTTTATATAATATGTAAAAGTACAAATTTGATAAAAAAAAAAAGTGAATTTGTTTAGTAAGCTTTCGTTCACAAATAATATTGCCCAAAAAGTTTTATTAGATTTAATGTCGTCTCAAAAATTTCAAAATATAGCGATGTTACCTCACCCATTAAAAAATAAACATTATTGTTAACAAATTATCATTAACGATTAATATTTGTGATAGCAAAAAACATTGTTGCTCCATTTTAAAACTTTAGAGGCAATCCTGAGTTCCAAAAAACTTCCAATGCAACATTGCTTTTGAGTAAAAAATTTTGGAAGAAATTTTCATCCTAACTCTTTATTTAATTGCATCATATTATAATTCTAATATAGTTTCAACTTTCAAGTAATAACTACTCCTCTTGTTATATTTATAAGGCAGAAAGAGAAAACTTTTCTTGATTCTTTTTATAAATCGTTTTATTAAATTTTTAGTATGAATATATTATTTTATTCTTAATTTATTATAGTGTAGATAGTTATTTTTTTTTGAAGGTATATATATTAAATAGGAATAAAGTTAAAAATTTGTTATATTTTAATGAAAAGTTAATACAATTTAAGGTTTTTTTATTTGTATAAAAAAATACCAAAAATAATTTATAAATAAGATAAAAGGAGTACTGATCATGACTGCCTAATTTTGTTGTTGTGGTCAGTTGGTTTTGTATAATGATATTTGAATTATCAATTCGCGGACGGCGAAAGAAGAAGTAATCAATAGTAATTAATAATGGATGAAGTAACGAGTCCATCCACATTTGATGACTCATCCGAATTTCCGTTCACGCCTCCCCTTCTTTTCTCTCTCTCCTTATTTGGGGCCATGGCTTCCCTTGTTACGTTTCCACTCCTTCTTTGACTCGT